ATGCGCGTCAGGGGGAAAGCCAAGGAAGACGCAGGGAACAGCGCGAGAGGAGAGCTTGTCCGCGGTGGTATCGCGGACAAAGGCACGGGAGCCCCAGACCCGGAACCGCGACGCATCGCCAACCTCCCCCGTCCAACGCAGGGTGGGCGAGGTCTCCGGCAAGGAGACACGGGGCCAGAGGTTGAGCTGATGCGCAGCGTACCGGACCGCAAACGGCCACAGAAAATGGGGAGCAGCCGCATGGATCATGGAGGTGCGAGCGACCTCCATGACTAGGCCAATGCGGCGCTCAGTAACCCCATTCTGCTGCGGAGAGGCCGGAAGCGTGAACGACTGGAGGATGCCCTCCCCCTGACAAAAGTCCCGCAAGAGGTTGGAGGAGAACTCACCACCTCTGTCAGAGTGCAGACGTAGGACGGGAAGGTCCATCTGGAAACGCTCGCGGAGCTGGAGACGAACAGCGCGGATCTAGGGGATCAAAACAGCAGGGACCTCACCCTTGCTGCGCAAGGGGAAGACCGTGGTGTACCGTGAGTAGCCGTCAACAACCAGCAGAAAGTATTGCTCGCGGCCCTGTCCTTGGACGCGGGCTGGGCCCCACACGTCCATGTGGAGAGTCTGCAAGGGAGCGTCTGTCGGAGGAAACGAGGAGGAGTGAGGAGCGGCGCGCTGCCGCCCCTCGACGCAAGGAAGACACGGCGGGGCAGGCGAGCGTGGGAGCGACGGCAGCGACTGGGGAAGACCAGAGACAAGCAGACGGGAGTGCATGCCACGGAGGCGCGGCAGTAGGCAGGCGTCGCGCAGGGCAGCAGGCGGCAAAGGGCGCAGTGGCAGGGCAGGGCGTTCTAGGGCGGCCAGGTGGCGCGCGGGCAGGGGAGCGCGTGCGGCGGCGGGCGGCGCGCGGGTAGGGTTGGCGCGCGGTGCACAGGCGGCGCTGTGCGCGGGGCGCGGCGGCGGCGCACGGGCAGGGCAGACGCGCGGCGTACGGGCGGCATAGTGCGCGGGGCGCGGCGGCGGCGCACGGGCAGGGCAGTGCGTGGCGGCGGGTGGCGCACGGGCAGGGCAGGCGCGCGGCGTACGGGCGGCGCACGGGCAGGGCAGACGCGCGGCGTTCAGGCGGCGCTGTGCGCGGGGCGCGGCGGCGGGGCATGGGCAGGGCAGTGCGCGGCGGCGGGCGGCGCTGTGCGCGGGGCGCAGCGGCGGTGCACGGGCAGGGGAGTGCGGGGCCGCGGCGGGCAGCGCACGAGCTGTCAGAGGTCCACTGGTGATCCCCGATTGATCCTAGGGAAGGGTTACAGGCATGGCGGCCTGGGGGGTTATGGGCGCACTCACCCGCTACACAAACAAGCCCTTTTATCCCAGTGGTTAGTGTCTGGGATTCTGACATGGTTTCAGAGCAAAGGTCTCGGGTTCGAATCCCGGTGTGTGCACCTCGGGCATCCCAGTGCGGGGGGGTGTCAGAGGTCCACTGGTGATCCCCGATTGATCCTAGGGAAGGGTTATAGGCATGGCGGCCTGGGGGGTTATGGGCGCACTCACCCGTTACACAAACAAGCCCTTTTATCCCAGTGGTTAGTGGCTGGGATTCTGACACGAGCAGGGCACGCGCGGCTGAAAAGGGCGCGCGGGCAGGGCATGGCGCGCAGCAGCGAGCAGCGCGCTGGCAGGGCAGGGCAGGGCATGCGCGGTAGCGCAACGCAGGGCGGGGTAGGGCGACTCGTGGGGTAGCGCGGTATGGTGGGCCCCTAAGAAAGCGGTCCTAGGTTAGGACCTGCTGTGAAACCATGTCAACACTAGAAGCAGGAAAATGATTGCATTGAAGACATTGTGGGTACAAGTACTAACCATAACATTGGGTTTTACCCCATATGGGCTACCCCACTACAGCCTACACAGAACTAACACATATATAGTTTGACAGCCGACGCTCTTCATGGTTTGGCATTGTACAAACACGGCAGCATGACGCCCACCAGCAGCATAACAAAGTTGCTGAATTAGTTGCATTGAACCGGAAATATGTTGGTGTGGTTAGCGATTTGAACTAATCAATGTGATGTTTGCTGCCCTCATATAATGCAATATGGCCATTTTGCTCGTATGATCGCACAAATGGCTTCTAATTTAGTCATTGGATGACGAAAATACGAGGTTTTGATTATTTCTTAAAAAAATGGTTTGCAAAAGGGTTTGTAGAACAATGGTTTCTCAACCCAGCTGAACAAGTTGAATGGCTGTCCATTATGTTAGCACCTTATATTTACAGTCTTGTCTAATCCGATTTGCATATCCTTTAAGAGGTGGGATGTAAAAGGATAAATTCAAATTTGGATATCACTTAGTATTAGTGAAGCAGAACATATAGTGAATTGGCTGCTGTCAGAGCGCTTCCTGACCTGGCGGGAATTTTGAACTGAGATGCTCTGACACGGAGCTGAGGTGTGTGGTGGACAATCCCGAAACGCGAGGACATTAGGAAGGTGCATTACGCTTAGAGCACGGTTCAAAACGTTTACGCTTCGGTTTTTGGGGTATGATACTCATGCTCTTCTGAACCATGAACTCAAGCTCTTGAATGGCTGTTCACACAGACGAAGCTCTTCCACCAGTGAATTCCCAAGGCGAGGCTCTATTCCACAAAAGCTGCAGCAGCAGTCTACAGAAGCGATCATGCTTCTCATGACTTCTGATTCTGCGTTTTCAACCACTGCCGTATGAACCGCAAGGTTGATCTGCAAAACATCTCGTTTTGCAAAAACTGGTAACTTGTCATTACTCATTGGTGCTAAGCGTCAGCATTTATCAATTTGGGAGTAGCAGTTACTCACGATCATCACGAGTTGAAGAGTCCTGAGATTAATCGACTTCTCAAGTCTAAGACATCACTAGCTATGTCTTCGCGGACGTCACTAGCTATGAGTTCGCGGACCACCGAGCTTGTGCACGCCATGGCGAGAAGTCCTGGCGACGTTTCTGTTCCTGGCGAGAGTCCCGTCAGTCAAGAGCCGCTGACTCTCGCAGAAATGGAGAGCTTGCTGCAACACATGCTGTCCTACACCCACGATGAGCAGGAACAAGAGGTGCGCCTTACTTACTCTCTCTCGCAGGAACTAATCTTTCTCTCGTCACACGCTTGTTGCAGCCTGCAAATTTAATTGTCTCACCTAGTCGATTTTCTTCTTCCCAGAAACATATTGTGTGAAACTTTTTGTTGCAGCTTCTTTTGTAGATTTCAGACTCTTGATCTTTTCTTCTTCTCGATTTTGTCTGTCACAGTTTTTTTCTGTACTCAGACATGCGAAGCCGTAAAGCTGATGTATCACCTTTCCTCCGTTTCATCCGCAGATCTGGGTTCTCTGTTTCTTTGTTCGCAGATTTGGGAGTCGCTCGCAGCAACTGGGGTCTCTACCTCCTCCGTCGTCGAATCTCTCCGCATCACGATGGAATCTTCTCAGAAGCCTCCCGTCGTCAGGCTCACAGCGGCTGCGGTTTTCCTCAACCTGTTTCTGCTGCCCAACTGCCCCGTTTATAGCATCTTCAATCCGCTCGCCTTTAGCGCAATGATACAGGCTCTCCTACAGGTTATAACGGGGAATTCCGGTTCTGCGAGTGTTGACACTGATACACCGAAGGCTGACGGTGGGAAGAAGAAGAACCATAGGAAAGGAAAAGGTACGAACAAGCATCGAAAGTGGTCGTTGAACGAGGACGACGAAGCTGGCGACATGATGGACGAAGATGGTAACCAGCAGGGGGGCGTCGAGACTCAGAGCAGGCTAGGCGTGTCTCTGCTGTCTGTGTTGGGTTACCTTTCTCAAGCACTCGAGGTCCTGAAACTGGCGAATCAGAACGAGACACGTAAATCCCTGCTGGCGATGCTTGTGGAGGCCACGCGATTTTCGCTAGACGATCAGCAGCGGGTGGAGGGAGGCAGGAAGGGATACGCCGGTGCGGATCGGACGAGAGTTTCAGTGGGCGGAGGCCGGGCGGTGGAGGCCTGGAGACTTCCATACCGCATGCTACTCCAGGTATATTCGCAGAGTGCTACAGTAAGTGATTCTATTCATGTCAGGAAAGCTCTTTCCTCCCCAGGGGTAATCATGTGCCATTGTTGACCTGCAATTTCTTAAGTTGATTGGTCCCCTACCCCTATTCATCCACTCGTCCCCCTCTTGTCCATCCACTCGCCCCCCTACCCCCAGTTAACGGACCCGCAGCATGGCAAACCGCTAGAAACAGCCGCTTACATCCTCATGGCCACTGGTCCGCACATCCTCATGACGCACGCTGACGTCACCGCCACCAGCAGCAACAGTTCGAAAGCTCCGAGCCTGGTTCCCCCCTCGCTGCTGCGGTCCCGCGCCCTCGATTTTGTCACATCCGATATTCTCTCGAAAGCGCCTAAGGAGAGTATCCCTGCGGTTGAGTCTCTGATGCGGTACCTGTGCCTGCATGCACCAGAGAGAGCGGAAGGGAGGGCGGCAGCGGTGGAAGCGGCTGTGAAGGTGTACGAAACGGTTGGGAGGAAGGAGAGGGAGGGTTTTTTTCTGTTCGTGGGGAAGCTGGCGAGGGTTGATAGAGCAGCCGTGAGAGTGGTGGCTGTGGACTTGAGTGCTGCTCTGGTTGAACGGATGGAGCTGATGTGGGGAAGAGGGGAGGGAGGGGGAGGGAGTATGGGGTTGGGGGTTGCGGAAGAGGGTCGTGCGGGTGGGAGTCATGATGTGGAACGGGGGGAAGGGGGGTCTGGGGCTGGGGCTTGGGCTGGGGCTGGGGTTGGGGTTGGGGCTGGGGCTTGGGGGAAGGGGGGAGACGCGGAGAGTGACGAAGGGGATGAAGTGAGTCTAAGTCCGGGGTCAGCTTCAGAAAGAGATGCTCAGTCTGGCAGGGGGAGTGGAATTGGCAGCGGGGCTGGGAACGGCAGCAGAGGGACTGGGGATAGCAGCGGGACTGGAAACGTGAGAGCCGTTCTGATGGACCGTGTTGGCGGCTGTTTGGAGCTCATGTTCCGTAGGGCCTCGGACGTCAGTCCCACTGTGCGCGCCCGAGCCCTGGTGGCGCTCACTGCGACTCTTCGGATTCTGAAAGGACGCCCCTCGCTTCTGGACGCTTTGCTTGCCGATCATGCTCATGTTCATGCACAAGCTGAGCGTGCCGCGAGCATGGGTGATGGATTCGGTCTGAGAGAACGATCGGAGCCTGGAGCAGAAGCAGTGCGATCTGGGTCGGTTCTGAGTGCGGAGGAGGTGTTGGGCATGGTGCAGAGTCGTTTGGAGGACGAGAAGGGGCTGGTGCGCAAGGCGGCGGTGGGGGCTCTGGAGGAGATAGTGGGGCTGTCGAGGCTGCCACTGAGGGAGGAGCTGGTGGATGCCATTGGGGAGCTGTGCTCTGATTCGCTGCTGAGCGTCCGCAGGGTGGCTCTCACAGCATTGTCTAAGGTATGATCGCCATAGGGCACCATAGGTCACAAGTGACTGGGTTTCAGCGTTTGTCTCGCACCCTCGTACTCCTCGCTTTGCAGTGTCAGGGCCAAGTTGCTCGGCTTCTCCTCTCCTCTCCTCGTTCTTGCTTCCTTTCCCTTACCTTCCATTCTCTTCCCCCTTTCTCCCCCTTTTGTCCTTCCCAGCTGACCATGTCCAACCCAGGTCACGTGTGGTTGCGCTCCAAGTGGCTGCAATCCGCGCTCGTGCTCATTCTCGACAACGAGGCCACTGTGCAAGACCAGGCGCTCGACCTCCTCGCCTCCCTGCTCCTCCAACCCCTCAGCCTAATCTCCGCATCTCCCCGCCCCTCTGCTGCTTCAAGGATGAGTCTGTGCAAGGAGAGGCCGCTGCACGTGTGTGTGGGGAGGAGGGGGGTGCCTCCTGCTCCTGTGCTCTGTGAGGGGGAGGAAGTGTGTGAGGTGTGTGGGCGGGCCGCTGGGGTGGAGGGTGCTGGAGCAGCAGGAGGAGGAAACTCAGCAGCAGTAGTAGTAGCTGAAGGGTCTGTGAGAAGCGCAGTGGCGTGGCTGATGGCGGTTGGTCAAGGGAACTCGTCGGTGGTGCCGCTGCTGCACCGCGCATGTGCGGTTCTGGCAAGGCGAAACACGCTCAACGCAAGGCTTGTGGAAGGGCTGCAGGCGGTGATTGAAGCGGCCGAGGGATGGCAGAACGTTCAGCAGCAGCAGCAGCAGAAGCAGCCGATCGGAAAGGGGAATTCAGTAACAATGGCAGCAGGTGTGAAGGGGGGCAGTCCCAGCAGTGTGTGGAGGTGGGTGGTGAGGGGCGCGTGGCTGCTGCTGCTGGAAGTCACGTCCTTCTCGCCGCAGGGGGTCAGATGGGAGTTCTTGATTTCCAGATGGAGGGACGGCAGGAAGCAGCAGGAAACCGGTGACAGAAGACATGATGAAGCTGCTCGTCTTGAGCTGGACTGTCCTGCACATCCCGAACACGAGAGAGAGGCTCAGGTGTTGGACGGGCAGGCGAGAGAAACACATGTTCTGGACGGGCAGGAGAGGGAGGCGCAAGTGCATGTGCTCAAGGCGCTCTGCAACGTTGCTGCACGGATCCCAGGGGAGAAAGCTGCCGACGTGGCAGCAGGGCTGCTGCACAACCTGCGCAGCTTCCATCTGTCCCCAGACGAGGTGAGGCGCTGCAATTGGCCCGGTTTGTCCTGTTGTGGAGCGCGTCGGAGCGTGCTGGTTGCAGGCTGCTCCTGCTTTCTCGCTTTTGGGTTCACTTAGCCACAATCCATGCCTTAGCCACGCCAGCCATTTTTTATGCTCAAGCCGTGCCCTCTCCAATGGCTTAAGAGCCCATGTCCATTTAAGCTGGCAGAATTCTTTTGCTGATCTGGAAACACGTGAAAGTGGGATTGGTTTGCTGTTTCTTTCCCCAACTCAGCCTATCTGTCCCCGCCCCGTTGCTTCCCTTGCAAACAGGCTGGGGTGCACATGGTCGCTCTTGCCACTCTCAACCGCCATGCAGCCAGTGGCAGCAGCCGCAGCAGCACTGGCAGAAACAGCAGCAACAATGGCAGTAGCAACAGCAATAGAAACAGCTGCAGCAGCAGCAGAGGTAACAGCAGCATTCCTGTCCCGGGAGGTGGGGGATCAGCTGAAGCAGCAGCTTGTTTGGACAAATCACCGGAAGCCACCATTGCTGCTTGGTGTCTGGAGCTGTGCCAGCAAGCCACAGGGATCGTGCGATCACAGCTCAAAGCAGTTAGAAGCCGGCAGGGGAGCCCTGACCAGAACAGGGCGGAAGTGGGAGAACAGCAGCAGCAACGGGGAGAGGAGGAGCGGGAGGAGCCGGAGGGGCAGGCAGAGGAGGAGGATGGGGCGAAGGGGAAGGAGCAGGAGCAGCAGGAGGAGTTGGAGGAGGGGGCTGGCGGGCAGCCTTGGGGGCAGAGGCTGGAGTGTGCAGTGTTTGTGTGCGGCCAGCTCGCACTCATTGCTGGGGAACTTGCAGAGACACACGCTGCTGCTGCCGCGGGTGCAGCCACTGCTGGGGCTGCCACTGCTGTAGCGGATGCCATTGCTGATCCTGCTGCTGCAGCTCTGGCGGGTGTTGAAAGAGCTGCTGTTGCTGGTGGTGGGAGGCTAGGGGGGAGCGGGAAGAGCAAGGGAAGAGGTGGGGGCAGCAGAAGGGGAGCAAGAGAGTGTGAGCAGCTCGTGTTGCTGCAGAGCGCGCTGAAAGAAGCGTTTCAGTGCCTTCTGGAGCTGCTTCTGGGGAACTCCAATTCCTCAGCCGCACCACCATTACCCATTGCTGCTGCTAAAGCTGCAACCAACCCCGGGGCAGCAGCAGCAGCAGCAGCAGCGGCAGCAGCAGGGGTGCGAGTGCCAGTGTTGGCGCATGGGTGGCTGGCTCTGGGTCGCTTCTCTCTGGTGGACCACGCACTGGCCAAGACCTGCGTGCCGCTCTTCGTCCAGGCAAGTGCTAACGTCCTCCTGTGTGCGCTACACCGCTCTCGTGGACCACCACGTGCCCTGCATCTATGCTTGCCTGCTAAACATAACTTTCCCTATTCCCAAACCAAACAGGAGCTACAACGGAGTCCCCTCCCGTCGATCCGCAACAACCTCATTGTGATTCTCACAGATCTCTGTGTGCGATACACAGCCCTTGTCGACCACCACGTGCCCTGCACCTCCGCTTGCTTGCTAAACACTAACCACTAACTTTCCCTATTCCCAAACCAAGCAGGAGCTGCAGGGCAGTCCACTCCCCTCAGTGCGCAACAACCTGGTGGTCATTCTCACGGACCTCTGTGTGCGCTACACCGCCCTAGTCGACCCCCACGTGCCCTGCATCTCTGCCTGCCTGACTCCTAACCCCCTCCCAACCCTCCCAACTCCCTCCAACAGGAGCTGCAGCGCAGTCCACTCCCCTCGGTCCGCAACAACCTGGTCATCATTCTCACGGACCTCTGTGTGCGCTACACCGCCCTAGTCGACCCCCACGTGCCCTGCATCTCTGCCTGCCTGACTCCTAACCCCCTCCCAACCCTCCCAACTCCCTCCAACAGGAGCTGCAGCGCAGTCCACTCCCCTCTGTGCGCAACAACCTGGTCATCATTCTCACGGACCTCTGTGTGCGCTACACCGCCCTAGTCGACCCCCACGTGCCCTGCATCTCTGCCTGCCTGACTCCTAACCCCCTCCCAACCCTCCCAACTCCCTCCAACAGGAGCTGCAGCGCAGTCCACTCCCCTCGGTCCGCAACAACCTGGTCATCATTCTCACGGACCTCTGTGTGCGCTACACCGCCCTAGTCGACCCCCACGTGCCCTGCATCTCTGCCTGCCTGACTCCTAACCCCCTCCCAACCCTCCCAACTCCCTCCAACAGGAGCTGCAGCGCAGTCCACTCCCCTCGGTCCGCAACAACCTGGTCATCATTCTCACGGACCTCTGTGTGCGCTACACCGCCCTAGTCGACCCCCACGTGCCCTGCATCTCTGCCTGCCTGACTCCTAACCCCCTCCCAACCCTCCCAACTCCCTCCAACAGGAGCTGCAGCGCAGTCCACTCCCCTCGGTCCGCAACAACCTGGTCATCATTCTCACGGACCTCTGTGTGCGCTACACCGCCCTAGTCGACCCCCACGTGCCCTGCATCTCTGCCTGCCTGACTCCTAACCCCCTCCCAACCCTCCCAACTCCCTCCAACAGGAGCTGCAGCGCAGTCCACTCCCCTCGGTCCGCAACAACCTGGTCATCATTCTCACGGACCTCTGTGTGCGCTACACCGCCCTAGTCGACCCCCACGTGCCCTGCATCTCTGCCTGCCTGACTCCTAACCCCCTCCCAACCCTCCCAACTCCCTCCAACAGGAGCTGCAGCGCAGTCCACTCCCCTCGGTCCGCAACAACCTGGTCATCATTCTCACGGACCTCTGTGTGCGCTACACCGCCCTAGTCGACCCCCACGTGCCCTGCATCTCTGCCTGCCTGACTCCTAACCCCCTCCCAACCCTCCCAACTCCCTCCAACAGGAGCTGCAGCGCAGTCCACTCCCCTCGGTGCGCAACAACCTGGTCATCATTCTCACGGACCTCTGTGTGCGCTACACCGCCCTAGTCGACCCCCACGTGCCCTGCATCTCTGCCTGCCTGACTCCTAACCCCCTCCCAACCCTCCCAACTCCCTCCAACAGGAGCTGCAGCGCAGTCCACTCCCCTCGGTCCGCAACAACCTGGTCATCATTCTCACGGACCTCTGTGTGCGCTACACCGCCCTAGTCGACCCCCACGTGCCCTGCATCTCTGCCTGCCTGACTCCTAACCCCCTCCCAACCCTCCCAACTCCCTCCAACAGGAGCTGCAGCGCAGTCCACTCCCCTCGGTCCGCAACAACCTGGTCATCATTCTCACGGACCTCTGTGTGCGCTACACCGCCCTAGTCGACCCCCACGTGCCCTGCATCTCTGCCTGCCTGACTCCTAACCCCCTCCCAACCCTCCCAACTCCCTCCAACAGGAGCTGCAGCGCAGTCCACTCCCCTCGGTCCGCAACAACCTGGTCATCATTCTCACGGACCTCTGTGTGCGCTACACCGCCCTAGTCGACCCCCACGTGCCCTGCATCTCTGCCTGCCTGACTCCTAACCCCCTCCCAACCCTCCCAACTCCCTCCAACAGGAGCTGCAGCGCAGTCCACTCCCCTCAGTGCGCAACAACCTGGTCATCATTCTCACGGACCTCTGTGTGCGCTACACCGCCCTAGTCGACCCCCACGTGCCCTGCATCTCTGCCTGCCTGACTCCTAACCCCCTCCCAACCCTCCCAACTCCCTCCAACAGGAGCTGCAGCGCAGTCCACTCCCCTCGGTCCGCAACAACCTGGTCATCATTCTCACGGACCTCTGTGTGCGCTACACCGCCCTAGTCGACCCCCACGTGCCCTGCATCTCTGCCTGCCTGACTCCTAACCCCCTCCCAACCCTCCCAACTCCCTCCAACAGGAGCTGCAGCGCAGTCCACTCCCCTCAGTGCGCAACAACCTGGTCATCATTCTCACGGACCTCTGTGTGCGCTACACCGCCCTAGTCGACCCCCACGTGCCCTGCATATCCGCCTGCCTGCGCGACCCTTGTGAGCTCGTGAGGCGGCAGACGCTCGTGCTGCTGGCGGGGCTGCTGCAGAGGGATTACGTGAAGTGGCGAGGAGCGCTGGTGCTGCGTGTGCTGCTGTGCATCGTGGATGAGTCGCAAAAGATCAGAGAGGTGGCACTTCATCTCTTCACACATGTTGTTCCTCGTAAGTGAAAAGGAGGGAGAAGAGGGGGGCGGGGGTGGGAGGGGAGGGGAGTAGTGAAGTGGGGCTGCGGCAGAGGGACTACGTGAAGTGGCGAGGAGTGCTGGTGCTCCGTGTGCTGCTGTGCATCGTGGATGAGTCTCAAAAGATCAGGGAGGTGGCACATCATCTCTTCACACACGTCGTTCCTCGTGAGTGAAAAAGAGGGGAATGGGGCTGGGGAGGGGTGGCAAGGGGTGGGGATGGGTTTTGTGAGCGAAGTGTGGGAGCTGGCAGGGCTGATACAAAGGGACTACGTCGAGTGGAGGGGGGCGCTGGTGCTGCGCGTACTGCTGTGCATCGTGGATGAGTCGCAGGTGATCAGGGAGGAGGCGCTTCACCTCTTCACACACGTAAATCTTCGTAAGTGGAATGGGTGGGTGAAGTGGGAGAATACGGGAAAGAGGAAACGAAGAATCACGTGAGTCGATGAGAGAAAACGCCATTGTATATATGCAATAATTCATGGACGTGTTTTCACACATATTTTCTATGGCTCATTACACTTGCAGTGTACCTCTCATCACACAAATTTTCCGGACTTTATAGTGGTGACTTGCAAGTTACCTGCAGACTAGCCTCTCTACCACCGTCCATTAAAGCCCTTTTTGCATCTCAATGCACACGTCCTTTGCCCAACTCCTCGTACACCCTCAACCCAAGTTCACCCCTCTCCACCACCTTCTCTCCACCCCACCCCTCCACAGGCCGTGTGCCCCTCGTGCCATACAACATATTCATCGAAGCCCTCTTTGCCCTCAACGCCTGCCCCTTCGCCCCCTCCTCCACCACCACCGCTCCTCCTCTTCCCTCCTCCGGCCCCCGACCCTCCTCGTCCAGCCCTCCCAACCCTGCCTCGTCCAAACCTGGATCAACCAACCCTGGCTCGACCAATCCTGGCTCGTCCAAAGCTGCCCCCTGCGACCCATCGCAACCCAACTGCCCCAATTCAAGTTCCCCCGTCGAGGGCATCCAGGAAGAGGGGTGGTCGGGGAAGAGAAGGGCACGGAGTGGGAGGGGCGCAGGGGCAGGGAGGGAGGGCTTGGACGAGGAACTAGAGCGCTTCTCATTGAGGTGAGGAGGAGAAAGGGTGGATTTTGAGTAGACTCAAAACACGCTAGGGGCGCAGGGACTGGGAGGGAGGGCTTGGACGAGGAACTGGAGCGTTTTTCATTGAGGTGAGGGAAAAGACGGGTGTTTGCTGCGCGTCGGCCTTTCCTGCTCTTTTTTTTTTTTGTTTGATGCGTTTTCCTGCACCTGTGTATCCATTCCTGATTCACCCATACAGCAGAAACTGCTGCGTACTGCACTCTCCTTCGTTTCCCGGCTTGTGCTTTCTGCTGCCTCCCTGTCTTCTCCCCTTGACCTTCTCCCCTTGACCTTCTCCCCTTGACCTTCTCCCCTTGACCTTCTCCCCTTGACCTTCTCCTCAACCAGCGGCCTATCACGCCATGCTGCACGAACCATTGTGTGCCACACTCTTGCTTGCCTCAATGACCGTGCTTTCTACTGCCTCCCTGTCTTATCTCCTCGACCTTCTCCCCCTCCAGTGGTCCATCTCGCCATGCAGCAAGAACCACTGTGTACCGCACTCTACTCCGCCTCATGGCTCGAGAGCACCATCTCGCCCTCTCTGCCAAGCTCTGCCTTCAGGTAACGCCCTTCCCCACCAGCTGCAGATGCCTCCCCAATCCCCCCTGACATTGAATTAGGTAGTAAAAATGCCCTCATGGCTCGAGAGCACCATCTCGCCCTCTCTGCCAAGCTCTGCCTTCAGGTACGGCCCCCAACTACCTACAGGTGCTGGCTCCCTTGCTAGACGGCGCATTGCCACTCTCCTGCCCCTCGGTGCAAGCCGAGGTGGGGAATGCACTGGACACCATATGCTGGATCTGGCTGGAAAATCCCTATTCTCACACCACTCTATTCTGCCTGCAAACCTCTTCCCTGCCTATAGGTGCTCGCGCCCTTACTGGACGGCGCCCTGCCGCTCTCCTGCCCGTCGGTGCAAGCCGTGGTGGGGGACGCCCTGGACGTGCTCTCATGCAAGGAGATGCGCCCAGGCTCAGGCAAGGCAGCAAGTGCGGAGGAGGACGGGGAGGAGGAGGCCGGGGGCAGTGCAGGCGGGGTTACAGGGGGAGGAGGTAGCAGTGGTGGTGGGAGGGCAGGCGTAGGAGCAGGAGGAGGAGGTGGGGGAGCAGGAGGAGCGGGGGCGTTGGCAAATGCTTTGAAGGGGCGGGTGGTTACGCAGCTGATGAAGAAGAACCTAGTAGAGAACACCATTCCTGTTCTGATCGAGCTCAAGAGGTTACTGGAGGCTCGGAACAGCCCGCTGCAGGGGGCGCTGATGGCTTGTTTGAGGTGTTTGTTCAAGGAGTATAAGGAGGAGATTGAGGACTTGTTAGCAGCGGATCCTCAGCTGGGGAAAGAGCTCGTGTATGATATTCAGAAGCACGAGGCTGCACGGGCCAGATCTGCTGCTGCTGCCAGGGCTGCCAGTGGTGATGCTGCTGGTGGTGCTGGTCGCTGTGGGGGTGGTGACAGTGGAGGTGAAAGGGAAGGTGCTGCTACACCTGCTGCTGTGGCTGCTGGTGCGAATGAAGCTGCGGATGCTGTAAGGGACGTGAGAGAGGAGAGTGGAGAGGAAGGGAGTGGAGGAGCGGAGGCAGGGGCAAGGAGGAGAAGAAAGTCAGCCGAGTTTCAGACGCCAACTAAGGACAGGAACTCAGCAGGTGGCAGTGATGGTGCTGCTGCTGTTGGCACTCCTGCTGCTGTTGGTCCTTCTGCTGCTGCTGCTATGGCAACTTCTGGGAATGCTGCTACCGATTCTGCCTCTGCTGGGGCTGCTGCTGCTGCTGCTGCTGCACCATTCCAACGGGCTATCTGCTAGCACATTGTGCAGCCCACTCTTCGTCACCCCCAATCCTCCCAGCCGAACCAGATCCCGAAGTAGAAGCAGGCTCGGAGGCGAGAGGTTCGGCAGGAGCGGTTTGGCAGGTACAGAGGAGGAAGGGGAAGGGCTGGGAGAGGAAGACGAAGGGGAGGAGCAGAGAGAGGAGGAGCGAGCACGGGCAGCAGTGCAGGCAGCTGCGACTGCAGCGGCTATCATTAGGGATGTGGAGGGGCATGGGAACAAGACTCCTATTCTGAGAACCGTGAGTGTGCCAAAAGTGAGAGAGAGGAGGGGCGTGGGGCGTGGCAGGGGGGGGCAGGAGGAGTATGGGGATGGAGTGGGGAAGGGGAGGGTTGGTGGTGGAGGGAGTATGGGATTTGCGGAGAGATTGACGAGGGAAGGGGGAGAGGTTGGTGGAAGGGGTTGTGAGAGTGAGGCGGAGAGGAGGATGAGAGAAAGAGAGGAGGGAGAGAGTGAGGAGGCAGGCGTGCTTGAGAAGGAGGATGGAGGGGGAAGAAATGGCCGAGGGAAGAAGAAAGGGGGTGTTATGAAGGAAAACGATCAACATTTAGCGTTGGAGAAAGGGAGGGTTGGGAAGGGTAGGAAGGGAGAAGCAGCAGGTGGTAATTGGCAGGGAATGGAAGGAAGGTGGAAGGGAGGAAGCGAGACTGAATCTGCAGCTAGAGAAGGCAAGGAGAAGGGGTACTGAGGGGTGGTGCAAGGTGAGGAGGGGCAGGGGAAGGCAGTGGGAAGGGGAATGGGGGAGGATCTGCCACCACGACGAGCCACCAGGCAGTCAGCAAGAGTCAAACGATAGAGTGGTGTAGTTTTAATTGTTTATTGCATAGGAGGGGAGGTGCAGATGAGGGAAGGCAAAGGAGGATGGGTGGGTGGACCTGCCACCATGATGAGCCACCAGGCAGTCAGCAAGAGTCAAACGAGTGGTGTAGTTTCAATTGTTTATTGCATGGGAGGGGAAGTCCAGATGAGGGAAGGCAAAGGAGGATGGGTGGGTGGACCTGCCACCATGATGAGCCACCAGGCAGTCAGCAAGAGCCAAGTGATAGAGTGGTGTGGTTTTACGGTATGCTTAGGAGGGGGGGGACAGGTAGGGAGCGGGCTGGGAAGGGGGATGAGGTATGGTAGGATGTGCCACCAAAGGGGCCCACTCGGCAGTCAGCAAGAGTCAATCGATAGTGTGGCGTGCAGGAGTACTGGGGTGCTGAATCAGGTTCTGTAGTGGATTGTACTGTATACTATTCATGTTTATATCAAGTGTACAATTCGTTTCTGCCTGGGACTGAGGTAACTTCTACCCGGAACTGCAAATGTGTGACCATTTCCCTTCTGAACCATCATGTTTTCGGCCAGATGATAATAAAAAATACTGCATGTGATGCTTGTAGGTACAAGCTTTCAAGCTGAAATAAATGAATCTCCTGCATTTCCTGCTAAACCTGCTACAACTCAGCTCCTTGGAATGGAAAATGCACTTCAGCTGTTTTCTCCCCGCTGTTACTTTTGCCGTGTGGTGGCCTTTTTAATCAGCTCCATCCATCTGCTCGCTGTGTCTGCAGCAGCTTCTTTCAAGCTCGCCACCTTGCTGCCGCTGCTCCCACCATCACCCTTGCCTTCCCCCGTGCTCCCTTGCTTTCTCCTCTTCTTTCTCTGCCCGTCTGCCTCTGCTGCTTCGCTTACACCAGCATCTGCTGTTGTCGCCCTCTTGCCCTCCTCGCGTGCCGCCTGCTTCCTCTTGATCTTCTTCCCCGTCTTTGCTTCCACATCTGCCTGTGCCTCCTTCCCCTTTGTGCCCTCCCCTTCCTTCCCCTCCTTTTCCTCCTTCCCCTTATTGCCCTTCCCCTTGTCCTCCACCTCTCCTGTTTGTCCCACTGCTACTGATGCAGCTGTTGTCATCGTTCCCACAACTGATGCTACTGGTACTCGTACTCCGTCTCCTCTTCCTCCTCCTGCGGCTGCTCCTGCTGCTGCTCCTGATGCTGCTGCAGCAGCTGCAACCGATGCAGCCACTGCAGATTCTGCCACTGCTGCTGACACATGTCCGTTCCCTTGCTGCCACGGGCTTGGCATGGCGTCAAGTTCCTGGAAGATTCTCAGCGACACAAACGCGTCTGTTGAAGCGTAGATAAGCTGGGCGTCTGTGAGAGGGAAGCCCTCCCAGTTGCTGCACTGGACTCGTTTTGGCTTGGCGAGCTGCATTCAGAACGGTTGAGATGGGTTTGGAGTGGGGGTGGGGGAATGCAAAGAACAGAATGAAGCGTAGATGAGCTGGGCGTCGGTGAGAGGACAGCCCTCCCAGTTGCTGCACTGGACTCTTCTCACGTGTTGATGACGTATACTCTTTACACCCAGCAGCACAGCCCACCTCTTTCTGCAGGACAAGGCGGGTGAGAGTCTTGAACCCCACCCCACCATCTGCCCTCCCTCGGTCACCACAGCTTGCAATGTGTGTTCTGACACTCAGAAGACGAGCAAAAATCGCTCAATGAGTCTCACCTCTTTTTGCAGCACGAGGCGGGTGAGTGTTTTGAGTCCCACCATCTGCCCTCCATCTGGCACCACAGCCTTCTCTGCCGCCAGAGGGGAACAGTCCACCAGCCCATTCACCTGCTCATGTGCATTCAGAGACACACCCAGCAGGCAGGGGCACACACATATGGATGAATACACGCACAAAAGAGGCGGGTGAGTGTCTGCCTCCCATCCGGCACCACAGCCTTCTCCTGTGCCAGTGGGGAACAGTCCACCAACCCGTTCACCTGCTCATGTGCATTCAGAAACACACACCCAGCAGGCAGGCACACACAAGAGGCGGGTGAGCAAAGAGTCTCGAGTCCCACCATCTGCCCTCCCTCCGGCACCACTGCTTTCTCCGCCGCCAGTGGGGAACAGTCCACCACCCCATTCACCTGCACAGACACATGCCGAATCTCACATACGGCAGCTATAAACACCCATATTTGCATGCAGAAACATGTGCAAAAACACATGTGCATGTATACGCACAAGAGAAGTATTAACCCGAATCTCCCCTCCATGCCTCTACTCACCTCAACACCAAAGTCTTTCCGCAGCTTTCGACCGTCCTCTGTAACCCCGACCCCTGTCTGCACGAGCAGGGATCGAAGGAGAGGCACAAGACGAGGTGGAAGGGAGGAGAGAAATGAGAGAGAGAGGAGGGAAGAGGGAAGGAAGGAAGGGAAGAGACGGGAGGGGAGGGACGAGGGGAGGGACGCAGTGAGGAACGCAGGGAGGGACACGGGGAGAGACACGGGGAGGGACGTGGGGAGGGAAGCGGCGAGAAGGGGCGAGAAGGGAGACGGTTCTTGAAAACTCGCACTCACCTTGACCACACTAGCATCCTTGAGCAAGGCGCGGAGAGTCTCAGGAACCCCGGTGAACTTGAGATGAAAGAGATAGCAGACATCCGCGTTGGCGCAGAGTTGCAGCAGCGCACAGGGGTTCTCAGGGCCTGGTGGTGAGGTGAAAGGGGAGAGTGGGGAGGTAGGGGGGAGAGAATGGGAGGTGAGAGAGAGAAAGAACCACTCAAGATAGGACCATTCGAGAGAAGGGGGAGAAGGGAAGGGAGGCAGAAAAAAAGGCCGTGCACACATCATCCCCCCACCTCATCCCCCCACGCTCACCTTGAGTTGGTTTTTGAGGCGCCTCAAAAACCAACTCACCCCGCCACGCTCACCTTTTCCCCAAGTCGGTTTCCACTCGCAGTCCAGCCCCACAGCCACTCTGCTGCTGCCGTTCACCCCTGGGAAGAGAGGGGAGAGCACCCGTGCACTAGCCCCCTCGTTCCATCACCCTCTCCCCATCACCCTCTCCCCATCACCCTCTCCCCACCACCCCAACCTCCCGAGCCTCAACCCGAAGCGCTCACCTTTTCCCCAAGTGGGCTTCCACTCGCAGTCCAGCCCCACTGCCATTTTGCCGCTGCTGCCGTTGGCCCCTGAAAGAGGAGAGGAGAGGGAGGGGCAGAGGGTCACACACAAAAGCAGGTGAGAATCAGCGTTGCAACCAATCACTCAAAGTCGCGTCGCGTTGCAATCTACACAGCATTGCAATCACTCTCAGTCCAGCTCCATTGCCTTCCACGTAGAGAGGGGGCTCTACCCGGGCTCTTATCAATGTTACAACCACTCTTACAGCCGCATACAGCTCCCTTGCTGCTGCCTCCCCACCATCGCGCTCGCGGCGGTACACCGCCTTCCCGGGGAAGCGTGCGTAGATGTAATAAGGCCATACAGCAAGCTGTATACCTGAAACCATACTGTACCGTACTTCACAGCCGCGTACAGCTCCTTTGCTGCTGCCTCCACTCCATTGCGCTCGCGGCGGTAAACCACACACACAGTCCGATCCCCTGAACCCGTCACCCTCAACCCAACACCTTAAACCCTGGAAAACATACCGTTCTTGACAGCCGCGTATAGCTCCTTTGCTGCTGCCTCCACTCCGTTGCGCTCGCGACGATACACCACCTTCCCGGGGAAGCGCGCGTAGATGTCATGCACGAGCACTGGTATGGAACGGAACAGCGATGTTGCTGCAAGTATAAGGAAAGGAAGGGTGGGGAAGGGGGGAGAGGGGGCGGGGAGGAAAGGGGGAGGAGAGGGGGAGGACAGGGGGGGAGAGGGGGAGGAGAGGAGGAGGAGAGCGGGAGGAGAGGGGGAGGAGAGGGGGAGGAGAGGGGGAGGAGAGGGGGAGGAGAGGGGGTAAGGGTGGGGCTGCAAGAGAGGAAACACGAGAGGGGACAAATCCCGCGAATCCCGACTAAACCCGGCGCACCTTGCACGTCGCGGCGGAAGGAGAAGTCGCGCGCGAGGCTCTGATTCGCCACGACCTGATCCGCGCCCTTCACCACCGCTGCCCCTGGCCTCCTTTGCCTCCTTGCAGCAACCAGCACCATACCCACCCACATAACGCACCCAACACTCAAGAGCATCATACTCAACCACACAACTCACCTTGCACGTCGCGGCGGAAGGAGAAGTCGCGCGCGAGGCTAGGCGCCGCCACTACTTGATCAGCGCCCTTCACCACCGCTGCCCCCAGCCTTTCCCCTTCCCCACTTCCTCCTACTTTTGAGTCGATTCAAAAGTAGGCCCTTCCTACCTGCACCAAACCATCATACCCAATTCGCGCACCTTGCACGTCGCGGCGGAAGGAGAAGTCGCGGGCGAGGCTAGGCGCCGCCACGACCTGATCAGCGCCCTTCACCACTGCTGCCCCCGGCCCCTTCCCGTCGGCCCACGACGGTAGTTTCCGCTTCTGTGACGCTGCTGCCGCCGCCGCCGCTGCCGCCGCCGCTGCCGCTGTGGCTGCCGCTGGTGCCGCCGCTGCTGATGGCGCATTCGCTGCGCCTTTGCCCTTACCGTTAGCGTTCTTCCCGGCTAAAACCCCGTCCTTGACCCCTGAACCTCCGCCGATCTTCCGCGTTACTAGCTCACTCATTAGCGATTTGTTTGGGTCTTTGAGACTCACTTCCGGTAATTTAAATGACCACCATACACTCTGCTTCTCCTCTCCCTTGCTTATTCTCGCATCTCCCTCTCCCTCCTCCCCGCTCCCCTTGCCAGTCTTATCCTGGACCGCGCTATCGAGCTTTCTACGCTTGGCGGGAGGCGATGGTCCCCCTTCCGCATCGGTTGTCCTCGATACAGTGCTCTTTTTCGTTATAAGCCTCGTCTTCGTTACAGTGATCGAACCGAGTGTCTTCTTGACGGCGCTGGCTGCTTTTCGGACGACGCTGGTCGCGCCATTCCGTTTCTTCTCCGCCGGCGTACCGGTCGGCGTACGATTCGGCGTACGGAGTGTCGTGTCATTGGGCGTACGGTTCTCGTATGGCCGCATCGCGTCAAGAATCGCGTTCCAATCCTCCTCGTCTAACACGATCTCCTCTTTCGCCGGCGATACCTCCGCGAGCGCTGCCAAACCACCCGCCATTGCTGGGAATCCTCGACCGTCCGATCAAGAATCAGACGGGAATGCGCGCAGCTCCGCCGTGGATGCAGAGCCACGGGAAAGGTGGTTTGAGAAGGATTGAGGGGGAACGAATGTTGGGGTTGGGGTTGCTGTGCTAGTGTATTTTAAAGCTTTTGTATACATTTGAAAAAGAGAGGTTCAGAAGTTTTGAAATTTGAAATATTGGTAACCACATTACAGCTACTTCACTCGCTGAACAAGGGAGGGAGATCTCCCCGACACCCAGCACTCACTGGTGATTCAAAACTTTTGGGTCGACAAAAGTTACGAAATGCCTCCTCTCTCAGATCTACGCCACTACGCTCTTGAGGCAGCATAAACCGATGCTGAGCACATCGTGACTCAACAGCGAGCTCATTTTACCCCCCTTCCCGACACAAACCTAGACACGTGGGCGTACTTACAAGTCCGAACCAACGTCAGTACCGCCCTCTCACTCTGCGACCCCGCCGGACCCCTCCTCACAGCCTCGCCTCGTCGTCCATCGCATCGCCGAACGCACGTGTCCACTTCACGCCACCGTGAACGCGTTTGACGCGGCCCAAACCGCCGAAGACGCACGATCACAAACGCCGACTGATCGCACATCATCGCGACCATGTGTCGCTTCTAGCCGCAGGGTGCGAGGTAGAGGTACGGAACGACTGCTGAAACGTCTGCTCCCTACCCCTATCCGCCTCCTCGTTTTCCTTCCCGCCCCGCATTTCCCCTTTCCGCCTCCCCGTTTTCCCTTCCCGCACCCCGTTATCCCCTTCCCGCCTCCCCAATTCCCCTTTCCGCCACCCCTTTTCCCCTCCTCGTCTCCCGAATACCCCTTCCCGCCTCCCCGGTTTTCCTTCCCGCCCCGCATTTCCCCTTTCCGCCTACTCCTTTCCCCTTCCCGCACCCCTTATCCCCTTCCCGCCTCCCCAAATCCCTTTTCCGCCACCCCTTTTCCCCTCCCCGTGTCCCGATTACCCCTTCCCGCCTCCTCGGTTTTCCTTCCCGCCCCGCAATTCCCCTTTCCGCCTCCCCGTTTCCCATTCCCGCTCCCCGTTTCCTCTTCCCCCATTCGCGACACCCCTTCCCGCTCCCCATTACCCCTCCCCGCCTCCCCGTTTCCCCTTCTCGCCTCCTCAATACCCGTTCCAGCCTCCTCGTTACCCGTACCCGCCTCCCCGTTTCCCCTTCCCCCTGTCGTTTCCCCCCCCTTCCCCCTGTCGTTTACCCCCCTTCCAGCTCTCATTTCCCCCCCTTCTCCCTTGAGTTTCCCCCCTTGCTCCCTCTCCTTCTCATTTTCCCCCCTTCTCCCTCTCATTCCCGCCTTCTCCAGCTCATTTCCCCCCATTTCTCCCCCTCATTCCCCCCCTTTTCTCCCTCTCATTTCAGCCCCTGCTCCCTGTTTCGTCCCCCCTTTCGCTCGCGCATTTCCCCCCTTCTCCCGCTCATTTTTCCCCCTTCTCCCTCTCGTCTTCCCCCCCCTTCCCCCTCTCGTTTACCCCTCTTCCCCCTCTCATTTTCCCCCCCTCTCCTCCTCTTTTTCGCCCCTTCTCCCTCTCATTTCCCCTCTTGCTCCCTCTCATGTCCCCCCTTTCCCCTTCTCCTATTTCCCCCGTTCTCCCCCTCATTCCCACCCCTTCTCAATCTCAAATCCCCTCTTTCTCCCTTTCTTTAACCCTCATGTGCCCCCTCACCCCCCCCCCCCTCCACCCTCTCGTTTCCTCCCCTTTCACCTGCTCATTTTCTCCCCTTCTTCCTCTCATTGCCCCACGTGCTGCCACTCCTTTCCCCTCAGTCTCCTCCCTTCTTCCCCCTTTAGGCGTTCACTGCCTTACCCCCTTCTCCCCCCTCTCCCCTCTCTGGCTTACACTCTTCTTACCCTTTTCCCATGTCTTCCATACACCAATTTCTACCCCCACCTTGCGTTCTCTGCCTTACGCCCTGCTTCCCCCTTCCGGCCTCTCTCTTCCCTACACCCTTCTTCCCCATCTCCCCTCTCTGCCTTACCCCCTTCTACCCCCTTTCCCCTCTCTTCGTTACACCCTTCTTCCCCCACCATGCGTTCTCTGCCATACGCCGCGCTTCCCCCTTTTTCCTCTCTGCCTTGCACCCTTCTTCCCCCTTTCCCCACTCTGCCTTACCCCCTTCTTCCACGTTTCCACCCTCGGTGCCTTACTCCCTTCTTCCCCCTATCCGCTCCCCGCCTCCCCGCCACCCTGTCTCTCCCCTTCCCTCTCCCTGCCCATGCATCTCCTATCCCTACCTGCTCTCTCCTATCTCCTAACCCCCTCCATGCCCTCGCAACCATCTCTCCCGCCTCCCCTACCTGCCTTCGCCTACCCTTCCTTCATCCCCTCCCATCCCCTTCCAGCCCCTCCCATTCCATCCCCTTCCAACCCTTCACATTCTCTTCCAGTCCCTCCCATCCCCTTTCAATCCCCTACAATCCCGCTAACAGCTCCTCCCATCCCCTCCCATCCCCCTCCAGCCCCTTCCATCCTTTTCCAGTCCCTCCCATCCCCATTCAAACCCATTCATTCCCCTTTCAGTCCCTCCCATCCCCATTCAAACCCTTTCATTCCCCTTCCAGCCCCTCCCATCCCATCCCCTTCCAGCCCCTCACATCCTTTGCAGGTGACTAGGATGGGGTTGGAGATGACGAGGATGAAGGTGACATTGAGGGTTCGAAAGAAAATGGGAATTGCCCATCGAGATAGATTTTGCAACGAGGGCATGAGATGCATGGACATACAATTAGCCACGTGTATGCTCATGAGGAAAACCAGTCTCCAAATATCTTTTGGTCATATGAAATTAGTGAAATGGTTGTGAGGAATCATTACAATAAACTTGATAAAGTGCACACACCCTCAATGGCCATAAAAGTTCCTAATATCGTGTGGCAAAGTGAGCTGGACAACACAGAGTTGGAAGTGTATGCATGCTTCTTGGATCACCACCGGAAGCCGTCAACTAAGCAAAAGATGCCACACGTGCTGCCTGCAGCTGTTGCATGCGTGAGATTGGTGTGCAGCAGAGGGGAGCGAGACAGTGTGGGCCGCTTGGTGGACCTGCTAGTGAGAGGAGTGGGGGGGGTTGAGACGGAGGAAGGGGGAAAAGGGAGCAGTTGCAATGCACGTTGAACTTGGATGCACATCTTTCAGCAGGCAAACGCACACCCAGCATACGCTGATCCACCCACTCAACACCTGATCCCACCGTCACCTGCATGTCGTGAACATGCACAGCATCCCCACACGTGAACTGAAGCATGCCTGTCCGTGTGAACAAGCACTGCACCCGGAGCAGGTGGGGAAGTGAGAAGGAGCAAGGCCCGAACGCAAGCAAAGCAGTGGGGGGAGTGAGAGTGAGAAGGGGGGAAGATGAGGGCGAGAAGGGGGGGATTCCTGAGAGGGAGCAAGGGGGGAAATGAGACGGAGAAAGGGGGGAGATGAGAGGGAGAAAAGGGGGATTTGAGAGCGAGAAGGGGGGGATTTGGGAGGGGGAATGGGGGGAAAAGATGGTGAGTAAGGGGAGGAATTGTGGGGGAGCAAGGGCGAAATGAGAGTGAGCAAGGGCGGAAATGAGAGGCGGCAAGCTTGGAAATGAGAGTGAGAAGGAAGGGAAGTGAGAAGGAGCAGGGGCGGGAATGAGAGGGAGGAGGGGGGGGCTGAGAGGGAGCAAGGGGGGAAATGAGATGGAGTAGCAAGGAAAGATAGGGAGACGGGGGGGGGGAATGAAAGGGAGGAAAGGGGGATTTGAGAGCGAGAAGGGAGGAATTTGAAAGGGGGAAGGGGGGAATGAGAGGGAGAAGAGAGGAAAATCAGAGGGAGAAGGGGGGAAAATCAGAGGGAGAAGGGGGGAAAATCAGAGGGAGAAGGGGGGAAAATCAGAGGGAGAAGGGGGGAAAATCAGAGGGAGAAGGGGGGAAAATCAGAGGGAGAAGGGGGGAAAATCAGAGGGAGAAGGGGGGGGAAATGAGAGATAGAAGGGGATGAGGAGGAGAAGGGGGGTAAATGAGAGGGAGAAGGGGGAGAAATGAGGGGAAGAAGGGGGGGGGAAAATGAGAGGGAAGAATGAGAGAAGGCGGTTCCGATGAAAGGGAGACATTTCGACAGACGAAGTGGCTTGTGAGGCGAGCAGCGCGTGAGGCGCGCAGCACGTGAGGCGATTCGCGTGTGAGGCGAGTCGCGTGTGAGGCGAGTTTAGGGACATTCGAGCAGCGGGAGACACGAGCAGAAGGTGAGTGTCTCGGGCTAAGCGAGGCGAGCAATAGGTTACACGAGAAGCGGGTGACGCGCTAAACTTGAGTGGCGAGCAGAGGGCGATGCGAGCAGCGGGTGAGGCGCTAACCTGTAAGCTGGTGAGGCGCGCAGCGAGGTAGGCGAGAAGCGGGTGACGGCCTAAGAGGGTGTCGCGAGCTGCTTGGTTGGCAAGAATCTCGCCGGCGAGGACAACGCATGGATCGCGGCGAGCCCGCTGAATGCTACTGAACTATCTAGACGGCGCTGGAGCTGAAGGGAGTTGGCGGGCGCTAGACGGCCCCTGTCGTGGCTAAAGCTTTTAATGTACGTGTGCAATCTCACACCAGCGACTATTTGAGTGGTTGCGCTGTTCCGGACGCTGCCTCGTCGCCTCCCGTATAGTACTATCTAGACCTTTGTTAGTGACATCGCGACTTATTCTGAAATCTGAGTGCTATTTTGTAGTTAGGGTGATGGGAGAGTGTTTTGTGTTCTGACAACTCAACCCTCAGTTTACACTTCAAATTTTCGCCAACCCTCTCGCTAAGCTCCTTCGGTTTCGTGGCTGCGAAATCTATTTGCACACTGTTCAAATCGCAACAGTGCTTTCAAATGTATACAAAAGCTTGGGTGAAGCGACGAGGTCGAATGTGGAGGGGGGGGCGAAGGGTTGCTGTATTCGAAACAGCGTAAGAAGGAAGCTTTCTGAAACACTAGCATGTCAATTCAAAAAAACGGTAGGCTTATTAGAGTTGCCACAACTCTTCATATCATACAAAATTCACAGCACTGGAGGTTCTTCAAATTTGGGGATTGATTCACTAGATCACGGCATAATCCGAACATGCTTCGATCTGGAGCCAACCTCCTCCATCGCACCACCAGAGTACCGTGCCATGGCTTTCTCTTTGGTGTGAATACTCAGGGGAATACTCCCTCCTTTACTGAAACCTTGGAAAAATAGAGTGCCCCAGATATCTCGAGCGTTTTTTCTCCTCCTAGCGGAATCGAACTAGGCCGCCCCAGCCAAAGCCACCACCAAAGTATAACTCCACACCCCACCACCGCAATGTGCACCTATCGAGACATGCTTTTATCGAGTTGCTTCAGCTTCTCTTCAACTGACACAGGTCCCTGCGCTCTTGATTGGGCCTTGCGATCTGCTGACGTCAGTAACAGACCTGGAAAGTGAGATGAAATTGTTGCGTGTGGGGGGGAATTGGGAAAGCGAAGGGACGAGAGGGGAAGGGAAAGGAAGGGAAGAGAGGGGAAGGGAGAGGGAAGGGGAGGGAGGAAGGTGGGACTAACGAATGATGCAAGGAGAGAGGCAGCTGCAGGGGAAACGATGATACCGAGGGGGTAAGGGGGTGGCGGCGGGAGGAAGGGGGGAATAGAGAGGAGAAGAGGGGGGATCAGCGTGGGGGGAGGAAGCCGGGAGGGAAGAAGGAATGTGGAAAGGAATGGCGGGTGAGAGGGAGTGAGAGAAATGGTAAGCAGGGAGGGGTGGGGAGCAGGGAGGAGAGGGGAGGAAGGGAGTCAAGAAGAGCGGATTTTGAAGAAGCGCGAATGCACGGGGGACGCATGGGAGGAATGGAAACGTAACGAGGCGAGGGAGAAACAACTGACAACGAGTCTGAGAGGACTTTGCGCTGATCTACGGACCCGTTATCGACGTACCCGCTATTGTGCCCACGCCGCACGCTATGAGTACAGCCTTTGATATCCTCTCGGATATCATGGCGGGAAAAGGACGGGGCGAATGAGAGCGCGATGGATGGGAGCAACGGCTAGGAGACAAGGCCGAGAAGATAAGGACGCAGCGATGGCGGAACGGAAACGCGGTCTCGAAGATTGTCGGGATACGCGGAAGTGGCGATTGGCACGTGATACTGGAGCGCGCGAGAACTTGAGAAGGTAACAGGGGTGCGGAGCTGCGCGAAAGACGCAGCAGGGGTGCAGAAGAAACAGGAGTGTGACGAAGGTGAATGTAGTCGCGTATACAAATTACGAGTATGATTGTAAATCCACATTATATTATAACAGGAATTCATATTTTCTCGAGTACAAATCACCAGAAATTCAATTGCCACCTTCTGATATTGAAGTAGGCGGCATGCCCAGGGATTTAGGGATTTCTTAGCAGAAGCGCCCTGAATTTCGCAGGCCACGGTGCATATTCTCCGTGGCAGCCGAGTCAGGCGACAGAGTGATTAATAAGGTGATCAGGTGATTCGGCAATGCCTCTATTAGCTGCATCCCATCGCATTCCTCTCTCTCCTTCAGCCAGCAGCCATAGATTCGCCGTAGCTCCACGAAGTGGTCACTGTCCATTTAGCGCGTCGCGGAATCTGCTAGTCCCTACGCCTCTGCGATTTTCACCCGCCATATCGTCCGGAGTCTTGTCCGTTGTGCGACGTCGATTTGTCGCCATGGCAGAGACGAGCGACGCCGCAGGGGTGTCGCAGACGACGAGTGAGGGGAGTCGCATGAAGGTGCTCTTTGTCGAGATGGGTGTGGGATACGACCAGCACGGGTGCGTCGTCGTATTCAGTAGCATATATGCGCATTTCTAGTTAAGAACGCACTTTCTACCGATCTTTGCAGAACAAACGATCAATAATGATGGAGTCCAATGACAGCTCTCTCATCAGCGCTGACTTTTGAGTCGACTCAAAAGTCAGCTCAGAACAAACGATCAATCATGATGGAGTCCAATGACAGCTCTCTCATCAGCGCTGACTTTTGAGTCGACTCAAAAGTCAGCTCAGAACAAACGATCAATCATGATGGAGTCCAATGACAGCTCTCTCATCAGCGCTGACTTTTGAGTCGACTCAAAAGTCAGCTCAGAACAAACGATCAATCATGATGGAGTCCAATGACAGCTCTCTCATCAGCGCTGACTTTTGAGTCGACTCAAAAGTCAGCGCTGATGAGAGAGCATGATGGAGTCCAATGACAGCTCTCTCATCAGCGCTGACTTTTGAGTCGACTCAAAAGTCAGCTCAGAACAAACGATCAATCATGATGGAGTCCAATGACAGCTCTCTCATCAGCGCTGACTTTTGAGTCGACTCAAAAGTCAGCTCAGAACAAACGATCAATCATGATGGAGTCCAATGACAGCTCTCTCATCAGCGCTGACTTTTGAGTCGACTCAAAAGTCAGCTCAGAACAAACGATCAATCATGATGGAGTCCAATGACAGCTCTCTCATCAGCGCTGACTTTTGAGTCGACTCAAAAGTCAGCTCAGAACAAACGATCAATCATGATGGAGTCCAATGACAGCTCTCTCATCAGCGCTGACTTTTGAGTCGACTCAAAAGTCAGCTCAGAACAAACGATCAATCATGATGGAGTCCAATGACAGCTCTCTCATCAGCGCTGACTTTTGAGTCGACTCAAAAGTCAGCTCAGAACAAACGATCAATCATGATGGAGTCCAATGACAGCTCTCTCATCAGCGCTGACTTTTGAGTCGACTCAAAAGTCAGCTAAGAACAAACGATCAACGATCAATCATGATGGAGTCCAATGACAGCTCTCTCATCAGCGCTGACTTTTGAGTCGACTCAAAAGTCAGCGCTGATGAGAGAGCATGATGGAGTCCGATGACAGCTCTCTCATCAGCGCTGACTTTTGAGTCGACTCAAAAGTCAGCTCAGAACAAACGATCAATCATGATGGAGTCCGATGACAGCTCTCTCATCAGCGCTGACTTTTGAGTCGACTCAAAAGTCAGCTCAGAACAAACGATCAATCATGATGGAGTCCGATGACAGCTCTCTCATCAGCGCTGACTTTTGAGTCGACTCAAAAGTCAGCTCAGAACAAATGATCAATCATGATGGAGTCCGTTGACAGCTCTCTCATCAGCGCTGACTTTTGAGTCGACTCAAAAGTCAGCTCAGAACAAACGATCAATCATGATGGAGTCCGTTGACAGCTCTCTCATCAGCGCTGACTTTTGAGTCGACTCAAAAGTCAGCTCAGAACAAACGATCAATCATGATGGAGTCCGTTGACAGCTCTCTCATCAGCGCTGACTTTTGAGTCGACTCAAAAGTCAGCTCAGAACAAACGATCAATCATGATGGAGTCCGTTGACAGCTCTCTCATCAGCGCTGACTTTTGAGTCGACTCAAAAGTCAGCTCAGAACAAACGATCAATCATGATGGAGTCCGTTGACAGCTCTCTCATCAGCGCTGACTTTTGAGTCGACTCAAAAGTCAGCTCAGAACAAACGATCAATCATGATGGAGTCCGTTGACAGCTCTCTCATCAGCGCTGACTTTTGAGTCGACTCAAAAGTCAGCTCAGAATAAACGATCAATCATGATGGAGTCCGTTGACAGCTCTCTCATCAGCGCTGACTTTTGAGTCGACTCAAAAGTCAGCTCAGAACAAACGATCAATCATGATGGAGTCCGTTGACAGCTCTCTCATCAGCGCTGACTTTTGAGTCGACTCAAAAGTCAGCTCAGAACAAACGATCAATCATGATGGAGTCCGTTGACAGCTCTCTCATCAGCGCTGACTTTTGAGTCGACTCAAAAGTCAGCTCAGAACAAACGATCAATCATGATGGAGTCCGTTGACACCTCTCTCATCAGCGCTGACTTTTGAGTCGACTCAAAAGTCAGCTCAGAACAAACGATCAATCATGATGGAGTCCGTTGACAGCTCTCTCATCAGCGCTGACTTTTGAGTCGACTCAAAAGTCAGCTCAGAACAAACGATCAATCATGATGGAGTCCGTTGACAGCTCTCTTATCAGCGCTGACTTTTGAGTCGACTCAAAAGTCAGCTCAGAACAAACGATCAATCATGATGGAGTCCGTTGACAGCTCTCTCATCAGCGCTGACTTTTGAGTCGACTCAAAAGTCAGCTCAGAACAAACGATCAATCATGATGGAGTCCGTTGACAGCTCTCTCATCAGCGCTGACTTTTGAGTCGACTCAAAAGTCAGCTCAGAACAAACGATCAATCATGATGGAGTCCGTTGACAGCTCTCTCATCAGCGCTGACTTTTGAGTCGACTCAAAAGTCAGCTCAGAACAAACGATCAATCATGATGGAGTCCGTTGACAGCTCTCTCATCAGCGCTGACTTTTGAGTCGACTCAAAAGTCAGCTCAGAACAAACGATCAATCATGATGGAGTCCGTTGACAGCTCTCTCATCAGCGCTGACTTTTGAGTCGACTCAAAAGTCAGCTCAGAACAAACGATCAATCATGATGGAGTCCGTTGACAGCTCTCTCATCAGCGCTGACTTTTGAGACGACTCAAAAGTCAGCTCAGAACAAACGATCAATCATGATGGAGTCCGTTGACAGCTCTCTCATCAGCGCTGACTTTTGAGACGACTCAAAAGTCAGCTCAGAACAAACGATCAATCATGATGGAGTCCGTTGACAGCTCTCTCATCAGCGCTGACTTTTGAGTCGACTCAAAAGTCAGCTCAGAACAAACGATCAATCATGATGGAGTCCGTTGACAGCTCTCTCATCAGCGCTGACTTTTGAGTCGACTCAAAAGTCAGCTCAGAACAAACGATCAATCATGATGGAGTCCGTTGACAGCTCTCTCATCAGCGCTGACTTTTGAGTCGACTCAAAAGTCAGCTCAGAACAAACGATCAATCATGATGGAGTCCGTTGACAGCTCTCTCATCAGCGCTGACTTTTGAGACGACTCAAAAGTCAGCTCAGAACAAACGATCAATCATGATGGAGTCCGTTGACAGCTCTCTCATCAGCGCTGACTTTTGAGTCGACTCAAAAGTCAGCTCAGAACAAACGATCAATCATGATGGAGTCCGTTGACAGCTCTCTCATCAGCGCTGACTTTTGAGTCGACTCAAAAGTCAGCTCAGAACAAACGATCAATCATGATGGAGTCCGTTGACAGCTCTCTCATCAGCGCTGACTTTTGAGTCGACTCAAAAGTCAGCTCAGAACAAACGATCAATCATGATGGAGTCCGTTGACAGCTCTCTCATCAGCGCTGACTTTTGAGTCGACTCAAAAGTCAGCTCAGAACAAACGATCAATCATGATGGAGTCCGTTGACAGCTCTCTCATCAGCGCTGACTTTTGAGTCGACTCAAAAGTCAGCTCAGAACAAACGATCAATCATGATGGAGTCCGTTGACAGCTCTCTCATCAGCGCTGACTTTTGAGTCGACTCAAAAGTCAGCTCAGAACAAACGATCAATCATGATGGAGTCCGTTGACAGCTCTCTCATCAGCGCTGACTTTTGAGTCGACTCAAAAGTCAGCTCAGAACAAACGATCAATCATGATGGAGTCCGTTGACAGCTCTCTCATCAGCGCTGACTTTTGAGTCGACTCAAAAGTCAGCTCAGAACAAACGATCAATCATGATGGAGTCCGTTGACAGCTCTCTCATCAGCGCTGACTTTTGAGTCGACTCAAAAGTCAGCTCAGAACAAACGATCAATCATGATGGAGTCCGTTGACAGCTCTCTCATCAGCGCTGACTTTTGAGTCGACTCAAAAGTCAGCTCAGAACAAACGATCAATCATGATGGAGTCCGTTGACAGCTCTCTCATCAGCGCTGACTTTTGAGTCGACTCAAAAGTCAGCTCAGAACAAACGATCAATCATGATGGAGTCCGTTGACAGCTCTCTCATCAGCGCTGACTTTTGAGACGACTCAAAAGTCAGCTCAGAACAAACGATCAATCATGATGGAGTCCGTTGACAGCTCTCTCATCAGCGCTGACTTTTGAGACGACTCAAAAGTCAGCTCAGAACAAACGATCAATCATGATGGAGTCCGTTGACAGCTCTCTCATCAGCGCTGACTTTTGAGTCGACTCAAAAGTCAGCTCAGAACAAACGATCAATCATGATGGAGTCCGTTGACAGCTCTCTCATCAGCGCTGACTTTTGAGTCGACTCAAAAGTCAGCTCAGAACAAACGATCAATCATGATGGAGTCCGTTGACAGCTCTCTCATCAGCGCTGACTTTTGAGTCGACTCAAAAGTCAGCTCAGAACAAACGATCAATCATGATGGAGTCCATTGACAGCTCTCTCATCAGCGCTGACTTTTGAGTCGACTCAAAAGTCAGCTCAGAACAAACGATCAATCATGATGGAGTCCGTTGACAGCTCTCTCATCAGCGCTGACTTTTGAGTCGACTCAAAAGTCAGCTCAGAACAAACGATCAATCATGATGGAGTCCGTTGACAGCTCTCTCATCAGCGCTGACTTTTGAGTCGACTCAAAAGTCAGCTCAGAACAAACGATCAATCATGATGGAGTCCGTTGACAGCTCTCTCATCAGCGCTGACTTTTGAGTCGACTCAAAAGTCAGCTCAGAACAAACGATCAATCATGATGGAGTCCGTTGACAGCTCTCTCATCAGCGCTGACTTTTGAGTCGGCTCAAAAGTCAGCTCAGAACAAACGATCAATCATGATGGAGTCCGTTGACAGCTCTCTCATCAGCGCTGACTTTTGAGTCGGCTCAAAAGTCAGCTCAGAACAAACGATCAATCATGATGGAGTCCGTTGACAGCTCTCTCATCAGTGCTG